CATATTTTTATCATATAATAGTTATATAACTATCATATGATAATCATAAATGGCAAAAATTCAAGTTTCTGCTAAGTTTGTGAGTTCTACAAAATAAAAAAATTGGTTGAATTGGATTATTAGATGGCTAGAAATTTTAATTTTTATTTATAAAATCTACATAGTCATATACAATGAAAAGTATCTCGCAAATGTAATAATAAGAAATCAATATTGTAGTTACGTTTTCCATCTTTATAAATTTTATTATCATTTGAATTAACCAATTCTGGTGAGGTTGTCAACTTTGATAGTGAATTAAACTTATCAAATTGTGGTTTAAAAACTTTATTAAACCCTTGTTCATTAACTTCAGTTGATAGAAAATATATCTCAGCAAATTTTCCTAACTGTGTATAAATTTTTTCTTTCAAATCGTGTCAAATCCGAACTTCATATTTGCAAATCACTTCAATAAGAGAAACTAAAGTATGAAGATGTAATTCTAACTCAGAGATAACTTCAATACTATAATATTTAAATATGGATGAATCAGCTAACAATTCAAGGGAATCCACTAATATTTTATGCAATATTTTATTATTTTCAATATTTTCAATAATTTTTTTCAAAGAATAAATATTATGAATACTTGTCCATTTTTTAAATTTTTCAATAAAGTCACAGAGTTGGAAGTCTGACTTAGAGGCATCCTATTTATATAGAAGATGTTAATTATTTAGCCTAATGTGCTTTCAAAACTTCTAAATTTAATCAGCAACATAATTAAAAGCATGTGTATAACTAGTTTTCTGGGTTTGATGAATTTTGCTGCTTTTACAAAAAATCCTAAATTCCAAAAATATCAGCTTCTATTTAACAATTAGGTTTTAGAGTCATGAGATTGACTAAAAAATTAACAGTACATATGCTTTCAAAATCATTTACTATTGTTATACGTTGCTGACCAAGATTTTTATGAACCAAATTCTCATGAAATAATAAAAAATAACCTCATAACTATTCATTTTATTAAAAATATCAAAAACCAAGGTTAAAAAATAGATGTGCTTTTAAAGGTATTTCAAAGTTTCGAACACACGGTAAGGTTTTTATTTTATTGTTTGAAGTTTAATGGAGTATGTAGTCCAAATGATACAATAGTTATATTTTTGATTCAGTTTAAGGATTGGAACTGTTTAACTGCACAAAAATTTCCATTATTTTGGGCAGAATTATGTTGATTATGGGCTAAAATTATGTTAATACTGGCTGAATTAAAAGGTTAAACGGTTAGAAAATTTGTGTTAGGTGGTTCCAATCTCTAATTATCTTGTTAAGAATCAAAACGTAACTAACTGCTCGCACGTGTGTAATAGTTGCGTTTTGATTCGCTTATTATTTTGTACTGTACTTTAATGTAACAAAAACAAAAGTGAACACTTTAATCTCAGAGACGATCAAAAAATTAGGCCGAAATTACTCAGAATTTTTACTAATAAAATCACAGCCACCTATTAAGTGAAAATTGTTCTTGGGTTAATTTTAATATAATGTGGGCTTATTTTTCAAAAATTTCTAATTTTGTAATGAAAAATCAAAAAGTTGATTCCGGCTGGAAATTAATAACCAATTTTGTAATGCAGGCCAAACATTTTACAGATCACAGCCATTAGTTAACCAAAATCGAGAGTAGTTTATCCAATATGGATTCGACGCAAATCTATATAGTTTGCAGATCCTGCAGATCTGAATCCAAAGAGAGATTTGAATTAATAATATTTGATTCAGATCTATTATTATTACCAAAATACACAAACGTCAAAACTCTGATTTCTTGTGATCTTTTTTTTTTATAAAATACTACTATACAAAATATATCAAGCTAATAGTGTCAGATATCGAACTTCATTGAATGATTTTAACATAAATGGATATATTAATAGGATTGTGCAGGTTAAGAAGATTCAGGTGCAAATCTTGCTTCTTGTGGACTGTAGCACGTTTATTTCTTATCATTATACTTGTTTCTGAAATGAGGTTATGATTAGTACATAATTAGATCAAGTTTCAAATTAAGCAATTAATTAAATATACAGCACTTACTGTATAATCGCGAAATAACGCTTGTGGACGTTATTTTGAAAATCAGGTGCTTCAAAAATAACTTGCGAAATAACGCTTGTGGACGTTATTTTGAAAATCAGGTGCTTCAAAAATAACTTAAATGGTCTCGAATTAGTGCTCATGAGTGTCTCGAATTAATGCGATAAATATATCGCTACTCCATATACGCACTCAATAAGTGCACTTTCCCTATAATGATAATTACTATAATATTAAATTTAATCGTAACTACATAATTACTATGCAGTTACTACAATTTAAGTTTCTGTATAGGGGTTCGTTGTTCTTGAAGTGTATCCAATTTTGTTGTGGCAACTAGCACAGGTCGAATAAAGCCATATTGGGAACCATGTAACCAGATAAAAACCAGAAACGTATTAGGTTTCGATATGTCTTCGGTTTTAATTTTTAATATCATAGTCCTATTAGATAACTGATAGGACTATGGTTTTAACCCGAATATAAAATGATAAACATAAACTATATCATATGATAATCAGAAATAAATCAAATAAATCTATAGAGCTATCGGTTAATTTATATGTATATGATATTTAACTTATAATACACAATATTAATAAAGATAATCAAAACATATCAGGATAAAAATTGATGTATCTATAGAACTATCGAATAAATTTATTTGTATATGATTTTTAACTTATAGTACATGATATTATTAAAGATAATCAAAACATATTGGGATTAAAACTGATGTATCTATAGAGCTATCGAATAAATTTATTGCACACGATATTAATAAAGATAATCAAAACATATCAGGATTAAAACTGATATATCTATAGAGCTATCGATTAATTTATATGTATATGATTTTTAATTTATAATACTTGATATAAAAATTGATAACCAGTACAGATTGGTAAAATATCATAATAACGTAAAGCCTTATCATGCTGAGCATTTCAGATAAAAATCAGTGACATATCAATTTTCGATATGTCACTAGTTTTTATTTTTAAATCAATGCCATATTGAGAACTCGGTAGATCTTTTGATGTATAATAGAACTATTGAATAATTTATATTTATATGATTTTTAACTTATAATACTTGATATAAAAATTGATAACTAGTACAGATTGGTAAAATATCATAATAATATAAAGCCTTATCAGGCTAAATATTTCAGATAAAAATCAGTGACATATTAATTTTCGATATATATCTGTTTTTAATTTTAAATCAAAGACCTATTGGAAACTCAATAGGTCTTTGGATTTATCATATAAGCAAACCGGTAATTCTTTTTCACATTGGAAGCTATTCAGAGATAAATAAATTAATCTATAGAAATAACAGTACTTGTTGGAAATTATTCGGTGATAAATAAGGTAAATCTATATAAATACCAGTAAAACTAATACTTGATTAATACAAATTTATTAAAATTGCATGTTATATATAATATATATATATATTAAATATGAAACTTTCTATTTATAGAATTTACAGACATATATTCTTGGGGTTTTTTTTCTAACTTTAATTGTTTTGAAAACAAAACGACCTAAAATATTATGCACAGAAATAATACAATCTCTACTTAAATTATAGAATTCCAGATTCCATAATTCAATATTATAAATATTGTTTGTTTGGCAATGATATCTTGTTTTTTGGTTGTCAACAGCTTGATACCACCACACATAAGCAAGTACATGCTTTTTTGGACCTTCCGGTAGGTTTATTATATGCTCGAAATAATATTGGACAAGGCCTGGGTATATGTTGGTAGTATTGTTATCTAATATAAATCTTGCAATTATTTTTGCTGACTTTATGTGTTTCTTCGAATAAGTAAACCCAAATATTTCGTTGCCAATTTTTACTATACTATATATATTAATAGTAGGTAATGTTGTTATAGATTTTGGATGCCTGATATGCATTTCGGTTAGAGAGATAAAATTATTATTATATGCATTGTTGTAATAGTCAACTAACAATGTATATAATTCTTTTGGAAGGGTTATACGGTCCCTTTTAGATTCTAATAATTCACCCAGAAAAGGTTCAGAGCCAGTTTCTGAATTTTCTTCAATGTTTACAGATATAGAAAAAAACTCCTAACAATTATTATAAACAGAAAGACTACCAATCATTGTTTCTTGTTCAATAAACTGCAAACAGGTATGCAAGTGGCCTTCTGCATGTGATAAAAGAATATCCAAAAGAGAGTTATGTTGCAGAATTTTAAGAAGTTCAGCCTCAATTCTTCTATTACTGCTATGAAATGACCCTATAAATTTATTTAAAATACTATTGAGCTATCAACAGTTTAATATGGCTATTTGGATAAAATATAATATAGGTGACAGATTTAAATAGATATCGTAAAAAAAATAAAAAAGTAAAAAAAAAAT